ACTTGTTCGCCTCTCCGCTTCGTACTGCAATCGGCTTTCCCCATCCAAAATCATTTCCATATATATTGAACTGTGGAGAACTACTTGTAGCCAGAACATTTTTTGTCAAGTTGCTCAACATGAGTAACTTGGGGCTTCTTGTCCATGCCTCCAGGAATTCCTTTAGCTTTTCTTCGGTATGAGAAGCAACCATTCTGTTCATTTGCCACGCTGCATTACCCAGTCCTTGCTCCACCAGCTCCCCTGCCTTCAGAGTCACAGTTCCGGCCTGTACTGCAGTCCCAAAATATTCCTCGGGAAGGGATTTGAGTCTCCGTCGAGCACCGATTGTTAATATGTAATGGACCTCTAAATTGGGGTCAAGATGTTTTAGACGAAAAACAGATAGCCAAAGATGGGCAAGTAGTGTTTGAAGAGAGGAGATCTTGTTGTTATCAGCCTCAGCATTAGCTTTTGCTTTGAGTTTTGTGATATTTTCTTTGGTAAAATGGAAAACTCTTTCTTGGGTTGGCAGAGGGATGAATTTTTCATTGATTTGTTTGATTTGTGAATTGGGAATACGAATAGGAAAATCAGTTCCCTCAAGAAAGCAACGCTCAAGAACAGGGGATTTAGACAGATTAACAGAACCGCAAGAAATTTCTGCCCAAGAATTGAAGAAATGCCAAAAGGAGCTACCATCACAGACGGTATGATTCATGGTGCAACCGATGAAAATGCCATCTACAAGCTCAGTTACTTGAACACCCAGTACTGGCTCGGAAATAGAATCAATGTTCTTAACCCCATTTAGTGGGAAAAATGAGTGGAGAATGCTTGGAACATAAAGAGGTTCGATAATATCAGAAATGCTTACTCCATCAGCTATGGCATGGACAAACAGGGCTCCCATGTTGTTGCAGTTGATGTAGAAAGAAGTGGTGTCATCTCCATGTTCAACGGCCACAAATCTGCCTGCAAGCGGTGGAAAATGGTCCAAGGTGCGCGAAAGAGAGGCTTTCAAGTGGTGGATTAAGGATGATCCTGCTTGTATTTGTTGGGGCTTTGGCTTGTAGAAGAGAAGTCCCTTCTGAATAGGACCCACAAGAAGAAACTGAAGATCCCATGGTGTAAGCTCAATCCGTTGAGCTGCTGCTTCGTTGGGAGTTGATGCTTGCACGCTGCTCTCTGAGATGTATCGAATGCTTCCCATTCTGTTGTTCATGGAGCTGATGATAATGGGAAATGGGGAAAGTTTAGAACTTTGTACAAATGGAGTAATTGCTAAACTGGGCCTAAACACGCGTAGGTAATACAAATGGTCTTAAGAGACGTGCTTTGTTTGTATTGATTATCACCACATATTAATTTATTAAATTAGGTAATACAAATGGTCTTGAGACTTGAGAGACGTGCTTTGTTTGTATTGATTATCACCGCATATTAATTTATTAAATTTAATTAATATTATTTAAAAACATTAATTTAATTTAATTATTAAAAAATAGTTTATTAATTAATAAAATAATTAATTTTTATTATTAAATAAATTTAAATTAGTTTAAATTGATATTTTAATACATAATTAATTATTTAAAAATTATAAAATAATAAAATATTAATTAAATTAAATTAATATAATTTTAAAAGAAATATAGCGTCGTCATGTCACTGATGCTATGGACCCAAAAAAAAATAAGAAAAACATGTGATACCCGTCCTTCACGAATCGATTTTGATTGTTTGCCCAGTCTACCGGTACGTCTTGTAAAATTAGATTCAATTAGGAAATTTTAACTCAACCCATTTGTGGGATGGGTGATGGTTTTTATGTGTTAATTTAAAATTTAAAATAAATTAGATTAAAATTATTTGAATTTAAATGGATTGGATCATGACTGAATCAAATCATTTGAAATGATTTAAATTTTATTTTTTTATTAAATTATTTAAAAAATAATTTTAAATTTTAAATTTATGGATCTTAAAATAAAAATAAATAAAATACTTAAACTCTAACCTCCTTCTGTTTCTTTTTCTTCTATTTCTTTTTCTCTCGACTTTTCTTCTTTTTCACCTTTACTCACCCTTTCTTCATCTCAAACTCTTTAATCTTTTTCTTTGATGGTACTTGAGTAAAGAATCAAATTATGTGATATATAATGAGTTGTGTCATATGACATTATCAATTTTTTTTTAAAAATAGAAAACAAGAATGCTTACTAAAAATCCAAAGTCAATGGTTGATGAACTCTCATCATCATTAGAAGCACAATAATAAGAACATCAAAAACATCAAGATTTGATCTTAATTGTTAATTTGTTTTAAATTACTAATTTGTTCTTAATTAATAATTTATTTCTAGTTAATTAAAATCAATCTCAATCCAATTTTTTCTTGTATTTGTTTAGACATATTTTAAATTTACCTTCTAAATTTTAATATTAAATAAGGTTATATTTTTTTGTATAATATCTTTTTAAATATTGAATAAAATTCTATTCTTTATATAATACTTTATAAATATTGAATAGACACTAGATATTAACATATATATTAGATTTATCTTTTAAACTCTAATCTTTCATGTCTGTTTTTTTAATAAAAGTTTGTGTTTCTTCTTTTAATGAACGTTCGTGCTTTTACGAAATTATAAATTTTAAATATTATATAAACATTATATATTTGACATATGTTTTAGTTTTACTTATATAATTAGCAATTTTTTTTTCTTGAGATTGGAATAAAAATTAAATCATAAAATAAAAATTAATGTTTAATAAATTTTTTTTATTAAATAGTTAATTAGTATTAAATTTTGTTAAAAATTAAAAAAAATAAAAAAAAATTAATTTTAATTTTAATTTTTTAAAAATTGAATCCACCCTATCCAATTTAAAATCTTTGTGGGT